ATCGCCGCGCAGGCCAAGCTGGTCTACCAGCTCAACAAATACTACACGGAGCGCTGCCAGGCGCGCAAGGCGGCCATCGCCAAGACCATCCGGGAGGTGTGCAAGGTCGTGTCGGACGTGCTGAAGGAGGTGGAGGTGCAGGAACCCCGTTTCATCAGCTCCCTGAGCGAGATCGACGCCCGCTACGAGGGGCTGGAGGTGATCTCGCCCACCGAGTTCGAGGTGGTGCTCTACCTCAACCAGATGGGCGTCTTCAACTTTGTGGACGACGGCTCCCTGCCGGGCTGCGCCGTGCTCAAGCTGAGCGACGGCCGCAAGCGCAGCATGTCCCTCTGGGTGGAGTTCATCACCGCCTCGGGCTACCTGTCCGCCCGTAAGATTCGCTCCCGCTTCCAGACGCTGGTGGCCCAGGCCGTGGACAAGTGCAGCTACCGGGACGTGGTGAAGATGATCGCGGACACCAGCGAGGTGAAGCTCCGCATCCGGGAGCGGTACGTGGTGCAGATCACGCCCGCCTTCAAGTGCACCGGGATCTGGCCGCGCAGCGCGGCGCAGTGGCCCATGCCCCACATCCCCTGGCCCGGCCCCAACCGGGTGGCGGAGGTGAAGGCGGAGGGCTTCAACCTGCTCTCCAAGGAGTGCTACTCGCTGACGGGCAAGCAGAGCTCGGCCGAGAGCGACGCCTGGGTGCTGCAGTTCGGCGAGGCCGAGAACCGGCTGCTGATGGGCGGCTGCCGGAACAAGTGCCTCTCGGTGCTGAAGACACTGCGCGACCGGCATCTGGAGCTGCCCGGGCAGCCCCTCAACAACTACCACATGAAGACGCTGCTGCTGTACGAGTGCGAGAAGCACCCGCGGGAGACCGACTGGGACGAGGCGTGCCTGGGGGACCGGCTGAACGGCATCCTCCTGCAGCTCATCTCCTGCCTGCAGTGCCGGCGCTGCCCCCACTACTTCCTGCCCAACCTAGACCTCTTTCAGGGCAAACCCCACTCGGCCCTGGAAAGCGCTGCCAAACAGACCTGGAGGCTAGCCAGAGAAATCCTCACCAATCCCAAAAGCCTCGACAAGCTATAGGGTTAACACCCCCGCGCACAAAAACTCGCCCTCCGTAAACAACAACAGCGCCTAAAAAACTTTTTATTTAACGCGAACGACGACGGAAAGAGGCGGCGAAAGACAAGCGCCCCCCGCCACCCCCTCCACCCACCTGCAGCTCGGCCTTTAAAAACTTGCCGACGGTTTTCCCGGCGTAAGCTCTCAACGCCTTGCACGGAAGAAAGGAAGAGCCTCTCCTCCTGTCCTCCAATGTGAATTTTTAAAAAGTCACAAAAAGAAGCTATCGGACTTTTGCAACTTCAAAACGAAACCCGAAAGGTACATTTTCCAATCCATGTATAGTCCTTTTCTTATGCTCTCTTGTTTGCCTGAATGTTGTCACCAAGTGAAAATTATTTAACTATATGTACAAATCTCCCTTTAAAAAAGTTTTACTGATGTTAAATGTATTTCGGTGCCAAGGTCAGATTATGTGCCCCACAACTGACTTGTTGCAAATAGTAATAAAAATATTACTTTAACTTTAAGCTGAGTTTTCGTGAATGGTTCTTAAATTCAGGCAAGTAGATTCTTTCTGAACCTCAGAAGTAAATTTTTTAATAGAAACGAAAACATGAGATGTAAAGATAGTCTAAACGCGACACCTCGCCCAAGCCTTAGCTTGGCATATTGACTGACGTTTTCCAAACTTCTCTTTAGTTTCAATCTACCAAAAGAAAAAAAAAAATCTTCTATATTCTGTAGTTCAGAATGTGACAACATCTGCTCTATTTCTAGTACCTTAAACTTCCATTCTAAATCTTGTGAATATATGGAACATCGCTCAGCAGCTCGCCACAGTCCAGTCAGAATTAGAGCATGCCATTTCCTACCCTACAGTCGTCACCTTTAATTTTTTTCCTTAACATTTTTTTCCTTTTATTTCTCCCCAGTAAATTTCAAGCGCTGCATTTTGTTTTAAAAATTCACTGCTGTTTGCTTTCGCTTCCCAGAGCGAACGCGGTACCCATTTGACTTTGACACGAGGGAGGTATAGATCTACCCTGAATAATTAATGCGATTTAGAGTAACCGGTCGATATTTTTTTTAAACAAACATTTGTTTTCCCCAGATTTTTAAGTACAGCATAAAATCGCACCTCAGTATAGTCAGACGAGGAGATAAGCAGGAACCCGTCAGGAAACCACCCGTTCCTACATCGGCACCCAGGCGCTTTCTGCCCGTCCACTTCCCCGCCCGAGTTCCCGCTCCCAAAGCCAAAGAAAATCTGCCTGATTCCCCGTAGCGATTTCCCTTTAAGCTTGCTAAGGACGACTTGGAAATACTGGCAGGATTTTTAACGAGAACGCATTGCTAAGCTTTAAAAACGTAAGCACTGCCCGCTCGAGCCGCCCGAAAGATCGCCGGCTCGGAGCATTTCGAGCAACTTTTCATGTCCTTTCGGGAGCGGGGTGGGGGGGAGGTAAAAATATGTAAGTTCTTGCCCCAAAAGACTACTTTCGTTTCTTTTTGGACGGATCCAGAAAGAAATAACCATTCAAACACGAGCTGCTTTTGCCTTTAAGTTAAAACCGAAATTATCCCTGGCGGCAGCAGCCCGGGAGATGGAGCGGGGTGCGCGGGGGCCATCCTGCCCGGTGGCGGGCGGGCACCGCGGCCCCGCCGCCGCATCTCCGGCCTCTCCAGCCCCGGCTGAGCTCCACAAGTCTCTTGTTGGAGTCATCAGAGCGCCTTCCCCCAGCGCTGATCCTGGATCACCTGGCAAAATGGGATTAGCCCACGGGGCTACCCCTTTCCTTCCCATAACAGCCCGGAGCTCGCGAGTAAACTGTGATCGTATCGCCGCCGATGCTATCGCTACCTAAGGCAGGTTTTCCTTCAGGAACTTGTCACAATGTTTTCTTTTCGGTAGTTTAGACAAATATACAGGGAACTTAAATTTATCAAACAGATTAAGCCTCATTAATTAAGCAGGCCTGCTGAGCTACAGCGGATTAGTTATTTAGGGTTTGATTTTTTTTGTGTGGGTTTTTTTTGTTGGTTTGTTTTTGGTGTGTGGTTTTTGTTTTTTTTTTTTTTTAATTTTTTTTATTTCCAAGGGGCATTTTCTATAGCAGCTCCAGTCACCGCTATCAAGGTATATTGGCTTCAGCAAAGGGTGGGGCAGGGAGGCGTTAATGCTTGAAAACAAGCTGCTTTGTAACCTTACTTGGTTTTTAAGATATATTCAGATTTTATTTTTAGCCCGCCTCCCCCCCGACATTTTAAAAAAGGTCTTTTTTAAGACCTCCAGCTAAAGTTAATGTCGCAAGCAGAATCTAAGAGGTATAGCCAGTATTTCATGTAACCAACTTCTCCTTTTATAATAACCCAAATAAAATCTCTCAGATACAGAATAAAAGATACAGTCAAGCCAAATCAGAATGCCTGCTCACAGTTCAGAAAAAAAACCAAACCAAACCAAACCAAAAAGAAACACTAGCAAATACTTAAAAACAGCAGAAAAGAAAGGAGGCTGCATATATGTTGTATGCCAATGCTCCCATAAAACATGTAACAGGAATGGTAAGAATTAGTAACTGTACTCAAACACCCTATGTGCTAAACATGGGAAAAAATGCAGAATCATTCAGATCTGTAAGGTTTTTCTCATGCTAATGCATTACAAAGTAGAACATTTAGATGGAAAATAGTAATATAATAACATATCAAACTGACTGTACAGTTTACACTTATATCCTTTTCACTATTGTTTTTTAGTGGTTTTTGTTTGTGGTTTTTTTTTTTTTTTTTAGTTAAACATATTGGAAAGAGTAAGTATTTCAAACTTTTAAGCACTATCTCATACTTGAAATAATTTCCAATATATATAAAAAATACTTCAGGACCAAAATAAAAGTTAAATCTCATTTATGATATCTCATAAAAATCACAATTCTAGTTAATTAATTATATTAAAATCCAGTTCTAACAATTTGAGAGCATTGCTTTTCAAAATAAATTTACTCCTTGATAGGATTTGATAATCTCAGCTTTCCAACCCAGTGCCATTTTTAATACAGATACGAGCAATTTACTCAGTAGGAACAAAGAACTGAACTAGATGCTTAACACACAAGCTATTCTCTGCAGACAATCAGAAAACCACTACTTCTTCCAATAGTAGCCTTCACAAAGAAATTATCACCTGGTTTAATATTAAGCAGGTATTTAAAAAACCAAGAGCCATGACTGTGCTTAAGTTGGGATGCGGGAATATTTACCATTTGCCTCATACTTTTGAAATGCTGCTGTGATACCGTAGAAAACATTCAAGTGCACCCTTACTAAGCTAATCACACAGTATACTTCCTTGGAAATTGGAATTTTACCGAAGGTTACTAATTTTAAACAAAAGCAAATCAGAGCAAGTAAAGTTTGTGGAAAAATTAGCAAGTCAGTTCAGAAACGTATTTCAGGAGGGCAATTATGTTTTCTACTTAGGCACAATAAATAATAACAGGCCCTGTGAAATCTGCTATAGAATAATACGACAGAAGCATGGAAAACTTAGGAGAGTAGGAAGTTTAGCGCTATGTTACACTGCCATCATATAAAATCAGGAAAGTAAAACAAAGCATTTGGGCTAAAAGCCTCCTTGAACTTTCCAGTATTCACACAGGCCTGTGATTCAAGATGTCTTTATTTAAGAGGTCTCCCTGGAGCTTTATTCACAGCAAGCTAATTAACATTCAAGTAGGGGCAAACTGTGGGAGGGGGAGAAAAAGGAGAAGGAAAGGAGGTGTCACCTACGTGAAGTTCAGTAACATATATGGTCAGTCACAAAGTTATTAAAGCAGCAACACTGCAGACCAATAGAGGTAAAGGAAGTCGAGTGAAGAATTAAAGGTCTTGGGTAATTTGTCATCATCTCTCAGAGCTCAGGGTCAATGATCTCTTACCTTTGGGTCGATTTTCTTAAAACTAGGATCTTCTTCATCCACCTCAAAGTAGAGCTCAGAAAGAGTGATGGAAAGAGTGCCTTTCACTACTACTGAGGGTGCCACAAGCTGAGCTGGCGTGCTGAGGGCAACCGGACCTGCCAGAGCGGGAAAACACCAACAATGTTCAAACCGAAAAGAACGCGAGTGCAAATTATTCGCTTTTCAAGCCAAGAACATTAAAATAAAGCAAAGAGCATAGCTCTTCCTTCGACAGCAAAACTCTTTTTATCCTGGAAAAGAACATATGTGATAGATTTGCAGTGTCTCTGTGCTGCTGAACACTGAAGCAGCTACAACTGCAAACTTTTGCATACATTATACAGAGCTGGCTCTAGCATGGCAGTATTTAGCTTTTACTCAGACATGTTTTTCCTTCTGAGAAACTTCGAGACTTTGCATGCCTTCTGTTATATGCAGTACAGAGAGTGCACACACGAACGCTTGAAATCTTACTGTCTGATGTGTTCTTTAGTTACCAGAAAGTTTCCACGGCTTTTCACAGAGATGAACGTAGCAGTCAAAGCTCAAAGTTGTCTAACTGCAAAGTGTTCCCTCATGGATGGTAGAAATCTATTGTTAAGGTTACACAATGTTATAGAGCCTAAAGTAAAATGTTTTAAAGATGCTTTTGATTCCACTTTAAATATTGTTCAAGGAATCCATACAGTGTTAGTGTAGCTTGGGGACTGTGGGAGTAAACAGCTGGAGGGTTGGTTTCCAACTGAATGAATTTTTATTGGAATAATCACATCTCCACAGGGCTTATCACAGGGACAAATCAGACTACTACTGAAAACAATAGGTTCAGCATAGATCTGACAATGCAGAACCTATTATATAAACTAACACATACGGAAAGAAAACAGGTTAGGTTTGTCATCCAGCTGATTAAGAGGTAAGGAAATGAAGTTACTCGGCTGCAGTATTATCTGACTTTTGTAAAACAGTGGAAGAAATTAAATTGACAAAGACAATTCTGTTTTAATAAAGCATCTATAAATGAGGTACACACGTTCAGGTAATCAACGTGAGAATAACTGACAAAAAATTCAGATGAATTGTCATTTCCATCGATTGTTAGGAGGGTGATGGTCCTTAATCTCACATCAATCTCAATGTGTGCCACTAGGACAAAAGAAGAGATGCTCTGCTGAGATCAGTGCAGCTTTGCCCTCTATTCCCAATGTACAAATACATTGTGTTTGCAGATGGGCATGAGATAGCTGTGGAACTGCCATGATTTCCCAAAGCTCACCCCCACAAATGGATGAAATAAGCAGCTATGTGTTCTTTTGCTGTCTCCCTTTGCCCCCTGTACATTAGCATGTAATCCAGAGGAGAAATAACATTTTTTCAATCACTCGCAGACATTCAATTACAGGGCAAGCAGACAGCTGCAGAAGATGGGGCAGTCCAGGTCCTGTAGAAGACCCCTGACAATTTCCACTTCATTTCTAACCCACACCACTTTATTAGTGAGGATTACTTCTTAATCCTATTGCCATTGTCAAGATTATATAATTAAACTCCCCTTTCACCTCTATTACAGTATGAATGTATTACTCGAACCAATGAATGAATAATAGAAGGAAACATGGAGAAGGCTGTTGAGAAGGAATCTCATTGTAGGATAGGAAAAATAAAGATACATATACAAAGAAAATGCCATTGCATGGTTCTCCTGTTAGTTTATGTTACTTAACTCTTCCTACACAGGTTTTTTTTATTCATTATGCTGCATTTTTAACTTTGGTTTGTTTTTTTTTTTTTTTTTAAAAAAAAAAAGGGAGTGGAATGCAGTTCATGGATAAGCAAAATGCCAATAAATAATCACTTTCAGCATTTTCAGTGAATTATATGTCTGATACGTATCAATGTAAGGTTACACTACTAGCTCCTACGGGAACCAGAATTATCCAATAACTAACAATTTTCTTCGAAGTAAATGTATGTGGGATACCAGAGGAGAAGCAAATGAACATGGAGAAGTTTGCGTTTTCCTTGTACAACTCACGTTCCTCAAATAACAATGGAGACGTTTTATAACTCCCAGTCCCTGAACCACTGCTTACTCCAGTTTTCCATTTTGAACTGTACAGAAATGGAGCCATTCCACTCAGATTGCAACATCAGCAAAGGCTGCATGTGACTGTGTAAAATTAATTAAGTTCAATGACCTGAAGTATTATTTCCCCTTCTTCAGAAAAAAAAAAAAATTGAAGTCTAATAAGACTACAGTCTGTGGAGAAAGAAGAACTTCAGTGGGGGAATGTCTAGGGATTTAAAGGAGTTAAATCCAGTGAGTGTAAAAATCCTTCACACTCAAGTAAATAACAAATATGTACTATTTTATAGACTCAGGAAAAATATTAGAGGTCTCAAAAGCCTTTAATTACAGACGACTTGCCTAATTGTCCACTAGGTCTAATGATTTGAGTGGAATGAGATCAAAAGAGCTCAAAAAACAAAGAAAGCCTCTTTCAAGGCAGAGTTACTTTCTCTAAGGGGGGTTTCCTAGAATATGGATATCTACTTGCAGAAGCAAGGAGGTTATAAAAGTCAGAGAAAGAAAATGCACAACTCTCCTCAAATAAACCCTCAATATCTGAGGTGCACAGAAAATTATCTAAATAGCCCAATTATGAGAAGCAACAATTTATCAACCCGTATCCCAAACCATGACTCACTGCAGAGACTGGGAGATCAGAACTTAAACAGAAAAGAAGCTGAGGAGAAAATCAGATAGGTGAAATTACCCGTTAGATTCTCAACTTCTCTCTCCTCCATGAATGACATGATATCATCATCGCCTTCCAAGAGAATCTCACTTTCTGAGTTCTGGTTTCCTAAAACTTGACTCTTGATGGACTGCTTTCCTTTAACAAGTATATCGTCATCGGGAGCTGAAATGAAAGAGAGACACATTGCTGTCAGTCAGGTCTCAGAGGCAGCACTGACAAGGGAGTGCATTTTTTTTTTTTTTTTTAATGAAACTTCAGGAAGAAAACTGTTTAGGACTAGCTGTGGGAAGTACCTGTCTTAATCCTCTAATGTTAGGACACATCTAGTTTTAATCCTATTAAGCCTGCTCAAAATTATCCAATGCTCTCTCCGCAGCGTTTAACTCTATTTCAAGTGTTTATGACAGGGGGGAAAAGGACACAGCAGACTCCCTTCCCCTGCAGCCTTCCTAGGGAAGTGGAGATGGAGGCAGGTCTCGACTGCCCAGTGTGTTAACCTGACTCCCAAAACCCATGGTTCATGCACATGGGACCGCCACTGAGATGGAACTGAGCACAGCCCGAGGGGACAAGGCGAAGGACGGTGCCTGGCGGGCCGGGAGCAGCGAGACCCACCCGAGGGCAGCGCCCCTCGGCGAGGGGGAAAGGGAGCCGGGGAGGACGCGGCCCGGGGGCTCCCTGACGAGGCAGCACAAGTCACTCGGCCCCGCTCCAGGCAGGGGCTGCTCCCGCGGCATCCCGGCGGGAAACCCCCCAGGAGCGGGGAAGGCGAAGGGGCGCGGGGGCTCCCGCCCCGCTGGAGCTGCAGCCCTCGGATCCCTCCCGCTCCCGTTCGCGGAGCGGTCCACCGGGAGCAGGATGTGGATTTTGGGGGGAGGCGGGGGGGGGGGGGGATACACACACACGAATCTGCCCCAGGATCGCGGCTGGAGGCGGAGAACAGCGTGCACCTGCTTCCAAGGGGCACAGCGCTCCGGCATCACAGGGGCAATTGCGGGGCTCACGTCGGGATTTTTGGAATGGAAGAGAACTGGATGGACTTGGAGCGCATGTTTCGACCCTGCACACGGTGACCGGGCAGGGAAATGTGTCACCGCACGGCCCCGGGAGCGCTGCCATCTCCCATCTCCCCTCCGCGCTGCTGCTGCGTCCAAATCAGGTTTATTTAAACTACAAGCTCCAAGCAGCAGCAGGAAAAAGAAAAAGGAAAAAGAAAAAAAAAAAAAAAAAAAAAAAAAAAAAAAAAAAAAAAAAAAAAAAAAAAAAAAAAAAAAAAAAAAAAAAAAAAAAAAAAAAAAAAAAAAAAAAAAAAAAAAAAAAAAAAAAAAAAGGAAAATAAAACAGGAAAAAGCAAAGAGAAAAAAGTGAAAAGAGCAAAAAAGAGGAAAAAGAGAAAAAGGCAAAAAAAAAGGAGGCAATTATTCTGCTCTACACATAAGTTTTCTCTTGCTGTCGTAAATGCCAAAACACAGCGATGTATGTGTTGGGGTTTTTTCCTTTTTTTTTCCCCTTTTTTTTTTTAAGGTGAAAATAAAAATACCATGTCCTAAAAGATACATTGAGAATACCCATGGCCCAGCTGTGTTTGAAAAACATTCACCAAACAAATCAGGACCAACTAACTTCAACACACTGGTTGCTGCTCGCTCTGATTGCTGCCACACTTGATTTGAAGCTCTATGGGCTTACTCTAAAAAATATGTTAATCTGCAAACATTTACAGAAGGCAGCAATTCCCCAGTGGCAATACGAAAAGTTTAAATTGTTTAAGTAAATATATGCACATAAACTGCAAATAATAAAACTTTTCAGTTACAGAAAAGTAAAAAAGAAATTCAACCACCACCAAAAAAAAAAAAACACCCCAACCAAAAACCAACCAACAAAAAACCAAACCCTAACAATAAAAAAACAACCACAACAACACAAAAGCCCAAATGACCAAATATCCCGGTTTTGGTTTAGGCCTTAATCTTACAAAAAACAAAAACAAAATCAAACACACCCCCCCCTCCGAAACAAGAACAACAAAAACCCCACTCCAAACCAACAACACAAAAACACTAAAGGAAATTTAACTTGCCATACAACATAAAATGCAATGTATGCACGATCCTTTCTGCCCTACCAATATCTGCCACTTGTAAGCAAGCCTTAAAAAAAAAAATTACTGTAAAGCTTTAACTGCATTGTACAAACACAAATTTTACTGTCTTGCAAAATGTGCTCATGTAAATAATGATAACTTGGATTCTGGAGTTGTTCAATGTGAGTTGAAAACCTTCTTGTCAGGGAAAATATGCGGCTGATATTTAGGAAGGTTTTCCTGTAATTAACTCCCCCTTGAGGATTTTCAGTTAGCAGCAGTAAAATTACCATCAGTGTACTAACACACACCACATGCACTCTTACTCACTGCCCTACCAGCACTCCTAAAGATCAAAAAAAGTAAAATAGAACAAAACCACCTCAGGATGGAGTCCAAGATAATAAATTCTTTTCTTTTCCCTTTTTTTTAAAAATTTTTAATCCTTTTTCTTTCAATGAAGGCGAACTATATTTGTTGCTTCAAAAACCCCATCTACACTGTACAGACCTGCCATTTTTTGATTCCTCTACTAGAGTTTGTGTTACACTGAAGAGGCTATTTCAAACTAGCCCTCTACCTAGTCTCACTTAAGATTGAATTCAGAGCCAAAATCAAAGCTTAATACTTTTATACTTAGTACAGCTTGTCCATAATGCTGCTATATGCTTCATTCTTTAAGAAAAAATATAAGCAGTACAGCAACTTTCAAACCAAAGACGAATGAATAACAGAAATATACAACTCCTACCTCATCCTTTTCACTTACTCAGATTTTATTTCTTTCCTCAACTAATGATATTACACTGATTCAAAAACATACATCTTACATAACTGCCTTTTTAAAAAGTGATTTAGGCCATAAATTTAGTTCACTTCCATAAATTTTTTGTCATCTCTTTGCACACGATGTTAGCCACCCGCATTTCCTGACGTGCATGAAACGTGTGTACACACAGGCACAGGAAGATGTAGGGCCTGTCTACACGCCTGCAGACATCAGCCACTGGAAGGCAACGAGACATCACACTCTGAAGCAGAATCTGCTTTTTCTGTACTGACTTGACTAAAGCACTACATCTGCAACCAACACAGGCAGGCTCACGTGAGGATCTGTGCAGAACACAATACATTCCACATGGATTCACCTATTCTTCTGCAGATAATGCACTTACGTATAGGCCACAGTCCAGCTCTCTCTATGTATTTACTGACCAGAGATACATATGACAAGGCATTACATCATGAGACATGCTCAGTTCCCACACACATCCACAGGGATATCACACTGGATTTCATATGCCAGGTCCCAAACCCTGCTCTGCCTTTTCCAACCCAAACCACTCTCTGCCAGGCCTGCCTATTGTTGAGGTGACTGGAGCTTCTGGCCCCAGTCCTGCAGATCTAAGCACACATTCAAACACACCTTTTTCAGGATCGAGACCTCAAGGCATGGCCTGTGTATCCCACTGACCATAACAGCCTGCTGGCAGAGTATTAATCTAGCACAGCAATTTCATTATTATAATTCACCGGTGTAATTCCATGCAATCCTTCCCAAACCTCTCTGTAAGACACAGCTTCTTCAAGCAGCTTTTTGCAGACAGATCTCAGCATCTGCAGTGGGTTGTATTTATTCCAGTTAAATCTCTGGAACACTTAGGCATAAAAATAACAGTTTGGCTTACACTGCTGACCAAGCTCAAGACATTCCTAGAATTGTCTGTCTACAGCTCAACCCTACATGCAAACTACAGTTTTTAAAAGCCATTTGAGAAATAAAGTTTTCAAAAGTATAATACAGAAGTTACTGGGGGTTTTTTTAAGATTGTTAAATATACTAGGAAAAGCAACTCAAGGAAAAGGTGCATTAAAAAACCCTTACTATATATATATATATATTTTTACAAAGGGTTCCTTCTAGTCTTCCCATTTGTTTAAAAACATAACAATGGAAAAACCAACCACTTTCATGCCAGATTTTTAAAATATTATTTTTAGGACTTCTTTTTCATCCCTTAAGTTGAGGCAAATAAAACTAATCAGTCGACTGCAATACTGCAGGTGATCAGCTGCCAGTTCTTTTCAGCCACAAAGCCCTGAACTCCACCTACTGCCTTGATGGAAATGCTACAGACTGTCAGACTGGTTTAATCCCCCTCTCCTCAAATTTTTAACAAATGACAATTAAAACACACAACAAATCACTTGTTAAAAAGTTCGATAAGGTATTTTCTAGCAGCTGAAGATTCTCTCATAATATCTTCCATTTGAGGGTCAATTTAAAAATACCAACAGGTTTAAAGTACTTATTTTTTTTCACATCTATATAAGTATTTTGGTTCCACTTCTAAACAGTAGGTGAAAGGGAGAACAGAAAATAGTTAACTCTTTCCATCCCAAACTTTCTACTGAACCACCTTCACCTCCCTTTCCTCTCCTCACAATACACTATTAGACTGACTTTTATAAATAGCCAGTTTGGAAGGATCTTTTTTTTTTTTTCCCTTCCCCTTTGAAAAATTACCTAAAGCCTTTTTTTCCCAAGCAAGTTAATGTGAACTTGGGAATGGCAATTAAATTGTCAGAATTAAAAAATTTGTTTTTAACTAGAAGGTAGCCAGAAGTATAGTCATGGGGCTGGTATTGATTGTCTGAACAGAGAACATTAGTCTTCAGGTATTTATTCTGCCACCTCTGCACCAGAGGTTCTCCTTCAAATCAAATCAATCCCTGGAAAAGATTGGTTCTTGCTACTAAGACACATAACTAGGCTGCAACAGAGCTGACTGTTGTTGTTCTCTTTAGGTTTTACCGTACAAAATCTGGGCTTCCGGTTGTTTCTGAATAATTTTCATAGTTGCAAATTGGGATGACTCCTACACTGTGAGCTCTCTGGGGTGGAGAATACATCTGGCTGTATTTGAAAGATACCAAGCAGTTAATAATGTTTATCTTCTAATGAAAACTGTGCTAAAATCCATGTTTTCAAGTGCAATAGCACTTTTCCATTATTTATGCATTATTTTCCCCTTTCCCTTCTGGCAAGATCCCTTATGTCCAATTTCAGGTTTTGGTCCGTTATGTTTTGAAAAAACCTCAAATAGGCAGTTGGGAACCTTTTGTACATTATCTTAAAACGCTTTTGTTTCAGAGACATGTAAAATTAATTGAAATGGAATAATTAATGATAAATTATTGATACAAAATCATAACATACTGGAGAAAATATTCTGCGAACCCTAGGGATAGCTACACCACGAAAACAGGGCCCAAAAGTCTGGCTGCAAAAGATCTGAAAATAATCAGATTTTCTGTCATGAAATCAGTTAATATTAGAAGTTTATAAATACTATTCAGAAAGAAATTGATCAAGAGACCACTCCAGATGACCTTTCTGACAACTGTACCTTCTGAGACCCAACACCCCCCTCCAAGCCAAAACAAAACCACCACACTAAAAAAACAAACCCAAAATGAAACACCAAAAACCCCAACTACCTTTGCATTCCTATAAATTATATATAGTTTCCAGCTGAACTTGAGCTTGTGCTTTGCTCATCATTTTACACCTTGCCAGTGGAAGGACTTGGAACGAGACAGTTGCATTTATACCCACACTCAGGCAGATAGCAACTATCTATATTTTCACAAGTCACATTAAATAATGACTTAAGGCAAACTGGAATATTCGCTGGATTGATGACGAAACAGAATGACAACAGGTAACAAATACAGTATGCATTTAAATTCAGAATAAAGGAAACTAAATATAATAGAAGACTGCTAAGGATGTCAAAATCTCAACAGAAAGGCAAACAGAAAACAATTAGCTCTATTTAGATTACCAGGGTTAGCTACCAGCCATGCCTATTAGCTACCTATGAAATAGGGCTACTTTTATTCGCTCTTTCTTTGTATTGACAAAAATTGTAGTCCTGTCAATTAGAAACTGAGGATGAGCCATAGCCCTTGAAATGTAGCATGGATTAGTGAAAATATCACATTAGTATGAAATAGAAAAAATGGCATTACTGTGTGTTTACTTACAAAAGAATTAGTTATGCAAATATAAATGGTTGCTCTAAATATTTTTCAGCAAAAGGGGTTTTAAAATTATGATAAACAGTTTAAAGACTAAATATGAAAACATAAGTCGAATATGTGAAACTGCGACAAGATGTATTGATTCTAAAGTACCCACAATATTAAAGGGGGGGGGGACAGTTGTTGTTAATCTATGAAGTATTAAATGGAAAAAAATTGAGTGCCCTTGAAGTCCATGGCATAGAAACAACACCCAGTATTAAGAACAACACGCTGCAAAGCAAAAAAAGGGGTTAATTAATTCTACATCTTGTTCCTCTTTCTATAGTCAAAGATGTAGGGCTCTACAAACATGGCTTTCAGATCACTTTATTGACTAGTCTCTGTACGGTCATTTATTTTAGAGGACTGATGTCACATTTGGCATTATATCAGCTGACATATTGTAGACATTTTCTTCCAGAAATGGCTCTTTAAGGCTGAGTGCAAGAGGTTAAGATGCCTGACGGAAACTAACTTTACAACAGTGATGTTCTTCTATATCCACACAACAGTCTTTATAATTTTAAATTAGCATAAAGTTTATGCCTCCACATATAATTTGCGTGTGTATGTATGCAGTAATTCATAAACAAACAAACAAAAAAACCCCCACAACTAAATTTAAATTAGTCCTTTCCATGACGTGTATCTTCAAAGTGAAGGGTACTCAGCTTTAAATATAAGCAATTTATTTTTAAATACAAGAAAGATTTTTCTACCTTATTAATGTATCTTCATTAGATTGCAAAGACATAAAATTCTACACTAAACCCCAAAGTTCATTAGCTTTGGGTGTGTTTTTGTTTGACTGTTTATATTTTTATTTAATATAGAATCCTCAAACTGAGAGTATTTACAAAACTCAGTTTTGTGAACTCATTCTCTTCTAGAACAGACATAGCACATGAAACTGAGTGATCCCTGATCACAAAACGGGAAAAAATCCTGTTAAAAAAGCAATCCCCTATTTTAAATCACTAGGTAGAAATCATCATTACCATTCTGCTACTTGAGCAGTAACTCTACATCTCAGCATTTCCTACTATTTATTGCATATCAAGTTCTAGCAGAAAAACTCGAGGACTTACACATAAGCAAATATCTGTACAGTTTAACTTCTAATATATCTGTAATGATGGGCAGATAAGTGCTAAGGTTCACTGAAATAATTGCTGCGGAATTCTGAACAGGACAGACCTTCTTCTGAAGTTACTTAAGTATAAATAGGTAATTTAGAAGGAAGCGTTAAGTCCACAGAGTAATGGCAAAATTGCATCCACTTCTCTTCTGCTTAGTGAAAACTGTATTTGCAAACGTTGCATGCAAAGCACGCACAAGGTGCCAGCCCAGCTAAGATGTAAGAGGGGGCTCAGCAAACACCGACACTGCTTATATGAAGGAACGGTCAGTTCATCCTTGTATCGAACGTGAAACGCAACCACAAAAGCCTTGGATTTCGGACCATTTTCCAGCATCTCACAAAAGGGAAGGTCTAGTCTTTGCCACCACGTACTGTAACCTGCTGCTGGTGGCAAGCGGCAGATTTTACACTGACCATGTTCTCCGGCCGCTTTGAGTGTCGCTTCAGGATGTGTCGATCCGAGGGGGTTACGCACAAATCGTCGCCGGCGCCGCAAGTCATCTTCCCAGTAGTCAAGGCGCCAGAACTCACGAGGACGACTACAATGAAACAGAGGAGCCACATATGTTAGCAATTATCAAACAGCATGGTAGCGCTGAATTTCTGCATAAAGCTCTCCTTGTTTGCGCTGCTTTCGCCTTTTTTTTTTTTTAACCTCCCCCCTTTCTGCAATCTTTTACTTAGGTATGTCCTTGAAAATAACAATATCACCTTCCAGTCTAAGGAACTCCTTTCCCTTTTTTCTTGGAAGGTGAAATGAGCACTAAATACATCATTTTGAAATGAATTGCTGACAGTGTGATCAGTTTCCCCACACTCTAGTGGCATGTGCTCCGATTTCAGCCTCATTTCAGCCTCAGCAGGGCACCTTTCTCAGTGACTGCATTTATAAACCAGAATAGGGAAAAGGCTATTATAAATATGGTATAGCATTACCTATATTAATCAAAGTCTGTCCCCCTTCATTTTTCTTCCTAATTTGTGCCTTTTTGCACAAGGTCAGTAAATCATGCCATGAATTCTTGGTCCAGAAAGTGTTAACTTTAATGAATACCTCAGTTACATGGTTATGTATGTGATAATAAAATATTACTCTGTTTAGATGTGCAGGAATTTAATTAAAATAATCTCTTAAAATATTCATTACATTTAGCCCCTGAGGCTTAGAACAACACGAGAAAATGCATTTCTTTTCCATTTACTGTTTTTAAATAAACCATTCCAGGAGAGTGAAACAGCAATCTATTTTCAAGCAAATCAGATTGCATTTCTGGTTTATGTAGTTGTGTTTTTACATTTAATTAAAAACTACATGTTATGATGTGTAATAATTGCTACATAGAAGGCATACTTTTAAAAAATTACATCTAGAAAAGGTTATATCAAATTCATTATTTTCCATTGTACGCTCCAAATATACGTACATCTTTTTAATATGGTCATATATAAGTGCCAGTTACTATCTTGTTAGATGATCATGAATGAATGCCACTGTGAAACAGCATTTTAGCCCAGAGAATGTATAAAAAATGCCAATTTCAGGTATAGCAAATAAACAAACAGAAAATGCCTGAGGCATAGAAAGCCATGATATCCTGAAAACGCGTATGCCCAAATTAAAGAACACTGATTTTGTTTGTTTACATAGCTAGTACTAAAACAACAGATGAAAATGCATATAAATTCCATTTCTGATCCAGGAGCTAATAGAAAGTATAACTGTCAACACTGACAAATGAATAGCTACAACTAATGTACAGATCACAATGTTAAAAAATACTCGGTATCTACGTTCCTAGCTTTGAGGTTTAAAGGCAGAAATGAGTTTTATTTAAGGTGAACCAAGGTTTCAAACATGTAGTAACAAAAGCCAAAATGAGTTGTACAAACCTACTCACAAACACAATTTGTAAACATTAAAAATTCCAACTGAAAAAAAAAATTTATAAAAATGGAGGCTGTCGTTGCATTCTTCATTAAAATTCTGTGGCTTTTTCTAACACCAAAGAAAAGGCAGTGCTAGTTTTCATCTTCCTGATTTCTTAATTTCAGAAAAATACTGAAGTATTGGAATCAAGTTCCCCAGTATCATATTTTCACACTTAGTCTGTATTACAGTCGTGCTGAAATTGGAATGCTCTAGTTGTAAAACCCAACGATTTTGGAATAATCAACCAAAGAAAAATTATAAAACACAAGAAGCAATGGGTTTATTCAAAGGTCGATTAATAACTTAAAATTCTCCATCAGTGTTTATATAAAAAAGGCAGAACACAGCTGGCTATGTGCATGCCTTTGATAGTCGTAGAGCCCGGATAGGCACTTCATCATTCTGCCTTCCTACATTTATCTGTTAAAATTATTATCAAATATCAGCCAGGATGCAGTCGTGAATCACAGACCGCTCCTCGTCTTCAGGGGAATGATACAATGAGGGTCTATTCATCAGCGTGGCAATCGGCACGAGTAATTAGTTCCCTCGACTGAGATCTCCTACAAAGCTCATTTCAGTCGGCACCACAAACATATGACAATGAAAAGCTAATGGAAGCCGCTAAAATTTGTTAACCTCTTCTGCCATCAATCCTTCTGGTATTCCGTGCTACAGTATTATGCAAAGATGGTAAATTATTAATTTGGCATTCATCTATCTTTCTACAGTTTTGATAGAATTAAGCGATGCCATTCTTCTGGATAACAATTGCAATTACAGCACATTACAAAACTATGCAAAAATTATTAGGAAAATAGGTAACAGTGATGAGGCATGAAGTATTATCCTGAAACACAATACATCTTTAGTCCCTTACTTTTATTTTCAGTTTGGCACATGAAATTTGCATAGGGTTCCATCTCCTTCACTGGTGCACTGATTATTCACAAACAACTACGTATCAGCTATTAGATTGTGTATTTGAGCATTTGTAACTACTGGTAACCATTGCATTGTAAGATTAAAAAAAATTTATTATCTACACTCTACACATAGAAAAACACCCAACAAAACCCTGCAAAGCCAAAAACAAACACCAATCTTGACTAATTCTTACAAGCGAGCCATTTTTGAGAGCAGCTACTGGGAGAAATGCATATTAGAAATAATTTAAGCCAGTGTGCAATACAGCTACTCCAGAATACTACCTTAGTAGTAAGATCAATTAACCACTGCAGTCCCATCCCCAAAAGGCAGTATTGTACCACACAGACTTTATACCGCTGCAGCTAGGGGGAGACAGACATAAATACTGCTCTGATTTGGGCAGAACTGACTGCTGACAGACTGAAGGATTATGAAGCAGAGGATGAAGGAAGCAGATTTTGGAAGCAGTACAGCAGCACGGACTACAGGGGACACGTGACGGCAGAAGTTTCCAGCCCTACAATAAAGGCTGCCATATGGACTAAAGGTGCTATATGGACTGGATCGATAAACATAAGTACTCAATTAGTCTAAGTGCAAGAGCAACGCTTCTCAGGGGATCAGGGATTTATGAATTATAAATCATATGATTTGCATGGATTTGTCAGGGCCTCCTATAACATGATGCACAGTAATTAGCGGTTCCTTAGTAACCATATTGACTGAATAGAAACAAAGCTTTTATATTAAATGTTTTGTTCAAAGAGCATAACTATTATGTTGCTTTATTTTTCAAACAGTTTCCCAAATAACCAGGTATGTACTCAGAATTCAGATAAAAACTTTCCTCTCAGTTCCATGCAACTAATTTAACTGCTAAAATTGTACAGAGATGAGATTAAATACAGAGTATTTCCTGTTTCCTCAGGACTTTGTGTCATGGAAAAAAAACCAAAACAAAACAGTAACTTCACTTTGGCCAATGGGAAAAAGTCTGAACGCTTACTTATCTTCAGGAACAAGAAACCAATTTTCCTACCAGTTTCAAAGATTTAAGACAATTGGTAACAAAACATACCAACTATTGTAATAGTTTTATTATGGTGTTAGAACAAAGGAATTTTAGGCACGGGAATTACCTACTGGTCCTCATACACTATAGATTTTAACTGAATCTAAGCAGTACCAGAGAATGACAAGAGGATCATGCAACTGCTGAAAGAATCACTTCTTGTAATGTCTGATCTATTGTGTATTTCGAGATACTCTGCTACCCCTAAGACCACAGAAAAGAAACAGTCAAGCACACTAGTGTGGTTTGTAAAGGGGTTGTGCCAGATGGGGAATAGGAAAAAAAATGCAAACCTACAGAAGCAACAGTTTGAGAGGTCCTAGTGCTGTACAGGCTACCAGTTGGCTGAGAATGGATTTTAGCACACCACAGAAGCCCTCGTTCAAATCCTTAGATTAGTAGTAAATAAACAAATATAGCACAGAAAAGAGAAACAAAGAAATTGAAAGAAAGGCAAAACCGTGTTACAGAAATTATCTGCAGAGACAGAGCATGACTACAGCTCTAAAAAAAACCTCTTCTCTCTAGAAGGCTATCTAGTCATAAGAGCAAGAAAACACACTTCTACAAAAGGCAATTGCAACAAACTTAAAAGCAGATAAACCTATGTGAAGATACCAAGATAAATTTTCAGATTACATACTCTGTGGAACTCTAACTGTAGAGTTAAGCAGGTGAGTCAATCTCTGAACCTAATCAATCCTTGGTCTCTTCACGAAGACCATCAGCAAGGCAATCAATCACTGACGACAATTTCTAAGGTGTTAGTGTTCAAACACGGGCTAAATTAGTGTCATAGCCAAAAACAGAGCGGTAACACCACTTATTCATCAGTAACAACAGGAAAGATTTGAAAAGAAACAAGAAAGATTGCGGCTCTGTGATTTCTCCATCACCAACTGCATGCCTACTACAACTTCTGGTTAAAATTTATTATGCACTTCGGTTGCAACGGCTCATCAAATGCAGAACGTCAGGTGTTCCTTCTAAATTACACAAAACAGCAATCATAGAATGCAGATAGCAATGCACAATTTTAAAGAAAATATGTGTCAGATTATTTTCATGCTGTTCAGGAACACTTCTTGGTCTACATCTAGGTAACTTTTGCTTCCATGTAAAATGCTTCAAGAACTCAATCCAGATATCTCCTATGAGAATACACATACATTTTTTCTCAAATAATTAATAAAAAAAAAGGCAAAAAAAAAAAAAAAGGCAAAGTCAAAAAAAAAAAAAAGTAGCAATAAGCATTTCACATTGGAATCAAAGAATCATAGAATGGTTTGAGTTGGAAGGGATGTTATTAGAGATCATCTAGTTCCAAGCTCTCTGCTGTGGGCAAGGACACCTCCCACTAGACCACATTGCTCAAAGTTCTATACGAACTGGCCAGGAACTTTTCCTGGGATAAGGCATCCACAGCTTCTCTGGGCAACTTGTACCAGTCTCACCAAACTCACAGGAAAGAATTTTCTTCTTAGTATCTAATCTAAGCCTTCCCTCTGTCAGTTTGAAGTCATTCCCCCTTGTCCTATCACTACATGCCCTTGTAGAAAGTTCATTTCCAGCTGTGTCATAGCCCCTTGATGTATTGGAAGGCTGCT